AATATGTTTCAACAAAGGATTTGGCTTCTGCTGATGGAAACATTAGTTCATGGTTACAAGAATGAAATACTAAATCTCTTTTTATTTTAATTAATAAGATAAAATATCTTAGCTTATATAAGATAATAAGACCTGATCACATCAATCTCAACAATAAAATAAAACAGATGTTTAAGGATTACAAGGCATTGAAACAAGATTTTTGACCTTTTGCCTTTGAAATACCCAGACAAGTCCATTTTGCATCTCTTGTATTTTTCACAGAGTCTACATGAAGCTGAATTGAACCTTAGCACATCTATCCATCTACTATTCATTACTACACCATTCAGATTACATATTATGCATAGTTTCATTCTAGTCTTCATGTATTTCCTTCATGATTTTAAACTAATATTACACTATACACTTCTAAAAGTAGTATAACTAATTGATAAAGCTATACTTCCTCAGAGTCTTACTAAATAATTCGAGTACTTACTAAAATAATTCCAGTACTCCAGATTTCAGGTAGCAGAGATAGATAAAATACCAGACATTTAACTGGGTATTTAATAATAACACCAACATCTAAATACATTTCAAAAACATGAATGATGACAACAGAATAAGAAGTCATCAACAGGGAGTTAAACATTTTTCTTGTTGATATTGTTACAAGTTAACATGCCCATTTTTTAAGGAGTCTAAAAGTATCCATGCTTCCTCAACTAATTTGTTTGTAATTATTGGTAAAATATTGGTTAAAAAAAATAGTATTATCATCGTGTTTTTCAAAGATGGTTCCTTTTGCATGAGATCACTGAAAACTTCAAATCTGAAGAAGATGATGATTACCTTCTGTGTTTCTCATCTACTTACCTATATATTTTCAACACTATCATTTATCAGCATCCTCTGACATTACAGTGTCATCCAAGGAAGACAGATTATCATAGTTTTTGATGTAAACATTATTAAAAAAAATACTTGTGCACACTAACAGTGGCCATTCTTCAAATTAGTCTTCTCTTTCTGTTTCTTAATCACACCATAGAAAGCGAAGAATTTTTTTCCAGAGATCACCACGAACATTTCCTACAGATTTAGCATATTTGTTTTATTTTTCTAAATTCTTTAATGTGACAAATAGTTTTGAACACGTATTATCCTTTCAAAATGCTGATTAAATAACCTAAATAACATCAGGAAATGAATTGCATAGAAAAACTCACATATAAAAGAATACATGAGTTATGAGGAAGAAAATTGTCTATACTAAGAAAGCTTAACCTATAGCTTACCGGTCATAGTCTCCATTACACAGTGCTCTGACAGAAATCTTGAATGCCTGCCACACTGGATTTAATGTATTCTTTACAACTTCTGTTTTGTGGCAGATTGTAAAACTGTAATAAAAAAGATACATATTTATTTACTTTTCCTTTTGTGTCATCAAACATGGAACCAAAAGAGTTGTAATCTCTATTCACTCATACAATGTCCATATAAAATTTAAGACAAGAAAAACAGAAACGCAATGAAATCAGGGAGAAGGGAGGACTGAAGAGGACAGACCTGTTTGAGAGAGACTACAGACTAGGGTGCTAAACAACTCTAAACCTAAAATGTTTTTACCCAAAACTTCGACAAGAATTACAACCATTCAGTAAGTTATTTCAGGCAAGAGCTGTCTCCATCCCATTTTTTGGGGGCCTTGTACAGCCAGGAATCCAGATCCACAAAGTGGTCTAGTAAGGATTTGACTCTTGTATAGCAATTAAGAAACTGAGCCAAGAGAGTCATAGCTTTCCAGTTCTTGTTCCCCATTTTATGCCTATGATTTTTTAACCAGGGCTGCCTCAGGTAAAACATATAAGCCTCGGTAAGATCCCATGATCACTTTCTCTCAGATGAAATACAATGAATTGTTTTAATGCATTCCGCTTTGTCTAAATGTTGCAAAATTAAAATACTTCTTTTGAATCCTCATCTTGGGGACTGATTTGTTCAAAAGAAAAGGAGGCAAGGTCACTGGTGAAATCACTACTGAAATTCTAGATAAACATGTAACTAAAGTTGTTCTTTGAGGGAATATCTTCATTACATTCCAAAGGCCTATGTTTTTATCATGGCTATGATTCGGAAGGCATACCTGAAGCCAAGAGACAGAAAAGCGAGCATCCTTCTGCCCATGGGTGCAGAAGTACTGCCCCAACCTCCTGTTGGATACAGGAGACCAATAAAGAATCAGTGGTTCGACATTCACCCCTTGGAAGGAAGTGGAGAAGCATGGCACTCAAGGCCAAGAGAAAGTGCATGTGTCAGCACTTCCAGTAATGCCCAGAGAAATTCCACTAACAGCCTTAACGCCACTCACAAAGGAGCCTTAACTCCTCCAGGTTTGCAATTTAAGATACTCAGCATTTATTCAGGAAGCTGTTCCTATAATCTGCCTCTGAGAGGAAAAGAGCAGGGAACAGACACACATATACCCATACATAGATTTATGTTAACAACTGTTCCAGTTAAACTACTGAAACAATTAATATCATATGTCTAGCCTTTGGTTTGATACAATGTTACATGTAAAGACTATCAGTTTCCAAGAAAACTTAACCTGCCAGTAGACCCCCATGTAAGCAATATGTTGATCAGAAGTTAGCATGTCAAGTCTTAGCAGCAGAACAGGAGAGATTAACCTACTTTAACAAACTAAGCGTGAACATAGCAAACAGTCACTTGTAAAAAATTTTCTATTTAAGGTATTTTTGAATTCTATTTCCCAGAACTCTGTCAAAAAGATAAAAGTTATTTCAAAATTTGCATTATAAAATGTTTTTGTCTAAAACAATTTCTAAGCATTAGCATATTCTGCAGCTACAATTTTCTTTGAGAAATCTATTTAATTTAAAGGTTTACTATATCTTAGCAAAAGTAACGCTATTTAACTATTTTTATGACAATTAATTTTCATAGTGTTTTATATTCATCATACATTTAACTCTTAAAACCCTGTGTTGTGATATTTGATCTATTTGTTACAATAGTTTTATTCTTATGCCGCATAACATGATACTAAAATCCAACAAACATTATAAAAGAAACACAGCTTAATCTGACAAATATTAAAAAATTAAAACTATATTACCATCTGCAAAATAAGTAAGCTGCCTACTGTTTAGCAGCAAAAATACTTAATAGTTGTCTACCTGCCATCTTCATTGCTTCGATGAAATACAAGGAAAGGATCAGATTTTCCAAAGAAGTCCTTCTTGTCTAGTTTGTTCGCACAGAATTGCATTAAAACTGAATCCTGAAATGAGTAACACAGAAAAATTACATAAAGCATGCAGTTTATTACACTAATATGAAAAAAAAATAATCACTGACTAATAACCATACAAATAGAAAACAAAATCAATGAGGGTATATGCATTCTAGATGCCCTCTACATATTTGTATTCCTGCAATGTCCTTACAGTGCAGTTTGAACTGCTGGAACCAAGAATTCCTTCATAGGGGGCTGCAGAGGAAGGATTAATTTCTACGCTAAATGCCTCAGGATTCTTCCAGTATTTTCTGACATCCAAAATTGCACTCTGAGGGAAGCAGATGCACAGGCAAGGAATGAATATTAGAAATAATTTTAAAAACTCTGGTGAGACACGACTAAGCCTCATTCCTTCAATGACTTAAACCTGCAGTTCTCTTCTCCTGCCATCTGTAAAGTAAATGGCTTGCTATTAAGAGTCTAGAAGCTTCCAGAAAATGAGCCTGGAAGATAACAAATACATTCATTCTGATGACAAAAAAAGGAGAAAAGTTTCTTCGCTGTGGTCAGGCAAACTGATAATCATACATGGTCACCTCTTTGGGCAGAGTCAAGAATGCAAGAAGGATTATAAATGCAAAGATAAACCTGCAGACTCACCAGCTAACTGGGGCAGGGCCTGCTGGAAGACTGTTCTATAAACAGGTCTACAGGTGAAAGAGCAGCAGGAGGACAACTAGGAAAAGTGTGGGCTCACCACTGAGTGGGGCAGGGGAGCAGGTGACAAACGACATAGAAGACTATGAGAAACAGGGACTTTTCCGTGCCTTGGTCTTTACTGGTAAGACTTGCCTTCAAGAATCTTGGGCACCTGAGACCCAGACCTGAGAAAGTCTGCAACAAAGATGACTTTCCCTTGGTAGAGGAGGACCAGGTAGGCAACATTTAAACAGACTAGACATACAGAAGTCCATGGGACCTGTGAGTGCTGATGGAGTTGGCCAAAGTCACTGTGAGGCCACTTTGCATTATCTTTGGAAAGTCATGATGTTCAGGGGAAGTTCCTAAGAACTGGGAGAAAGCAAATGCCACTCCTATCTTCAAGAAAGGCCAAGGAAGAGGATCCAGGCCAGTTTTTCCTCAACCCCAGAGAAGATGATAGAGCAAATAATCCTGGAAAACATTTCCAAACACATGAAAGACAAGAAGGTGGCTGAGAGTTATTAGCATGGATTTACAAACAGGAAATTCACGCCTGAGCAACCTGAAGCCTTCCCTCATGAAATGAGTGGCTCAGTGGATGAGGGGAGACTAGTGGATGTCGTTTATTCGCAACCTTAGCATGGCCTTAGACACTGTCTCCCATAATATCCTTGTTCACAAACTCATGAATTACAGACTAGATAACTGAAGTGAGGTAGACTGAAAACTGGTTGAAGTGCTGGGCTTCAAAGGCTCATGATCAGTGGCACAAAGTCCAGCTGGAGACCAGTCACTAGTGGTGTACCCCAGGTGTCAAAAATGGGACCAATAATATTGAACGTCTTCATTAATGACCTGGATGATGGAACAGAGTAGACCCTCAGCAAGTTTACAAATGACACTCCTGGAGTATTGTCTTCAGTTCGGGGCTTCCCAGTACAACAAAGACAAGGACATGCTGGAGAAATGCCAGCAAAGAGGTCACTGAAATGATTAAGGCATTGGATCATGTCTCTTATAAGGACAGGCTGAGAGAACTGGAATTATTTAGCCTGGAGAAGAGAAGGCTCAGGGGGATCTTATAATTTGTATAAATACCTGATGAGAGGGAGGAAACGGACTCTGCTTAGTGGTATCCAGTGCAAAAACAAGTAGTAATAGGTACAAATTGAAATATAGGAAATTCCATTTAAATACAAGAAAAAAACCTCAACTTTTTACTGTTAGTGTGGCAAAACACTGAAACAGAGAGACTTCAGAGTCTGCTTGGACATACTCAAAACCCAACTGCACAGAGTCCCGAGTAACCTGCTCTAAGAAGAGCAGGAGGGTTGGACTAGACAATCTCCCAAGGTCTCTTCCAACCTCAGCAACTCAGTGATTCTAAAAATCTTTGACATTCTGAGTATGAGCTATAAAAGTTTGGCAAAAAAATCTCAGAAGATCAGATAAGAATTCATCCAATTACTGAATAAACTTAGGGAGGAAAATATCCCAGAGAAAATATGTGACAGCTGGTGAGACAGTGCAAGAGATTGCGTGACAGAACGTGCATATGAAGGAGCATAACAGAGAACGCAAAAGAGAGTGCAAGAGAGAGAGACTGAGTCCCTTCAGTAATTTCAAACTAGTCATCATATATGTCAAATTTGAGTGGGGTGAACCTGGCAGAACATAAAAGCCTTGGAAGGCACCTAGTATTTGTCTTCAATAAAAGGGAAAGAAAAAAAAAATCCTATTATAATTACAGATTTAATGACATACTTGTGATTTTTAAACAGTTTGTTACAACTGGGATACAAATGCTGGTCTTGGAGGATAAACTCAGAATATCAGGAAAAAATTGCCTTTAGTCTCTTTTAAGGTTATCAATAAATGCTGGGGTGATGGCAAACATCTCTTAAGAATGGTAGGAGTGTAACTTTTTAAGAAATATAGGCGTACAATTTCTGCAGGAAAGCAATTAAATGATGCACCTATCTGATAAAAGTGTGAACATTTTGATCATGTACTACATACAAAAGTTTGAGCCGATGTAAAACAGAGGGGAAAACCAGGCATTCTCCATGACCATACGTATTCATTTGTACCAGTAACATAGGAATTTCCTACTGCTACATGGCAGTTAAATGAGACTGAGTTGGTGCACCCTATTAACATAACTCTGCAGGACTGGCAGGTTGCCTGGAAAGGGTAAGTCAGATTTAACCCCATGTGCTATTCAAATATACCACTATACTACTTCTGCAGAGAAATAATACAAATTTGACTAAGCTGGAAATAAGGCACAAAATGAAGGATTTCTTTTTACTTCAAGTATCTAATGAACTTAAGAAAATAAGGCCTAAACAGATTAGCTATCAGATATATTAGTAAAAAGAGAAACATGACTATTGCATAAATAGAAAAAAATTAACCACTTATGACATGGTATAAAAGTTAGAAGTTATACAAAAGGTTAAGCCTTATCCCCTGAACACCACCAAATTACAAAAACTAAGCCCCAGAAACAAATATCTTCAAGCCTCAAGGTGTTTTTGTAGGTATATGTATCTAATCTTGTACTCTATGGATCCCCTGTACATTTTCATCAAATGTCTAATATTATTGCTTTCTTCATTTAAGATTCTCTATCCTGTCATTGCAAACTCTTCAAAGATACACCCTACAGCCCCATCCAATATATACCATGGTCTGATAAACTGCCCCCCTCCTTAGATTCCAATCAGTCTTTATGTCCCTATATCTACAAACTTTCCTTATTCTTCCTTCCAGTCTCTGTTTCCCTATGATGTACAGATTGCTGCTAGTTCATTCAGTGCTGGGAAGCAACTGCGCTGGCCTGGCTGTCAGGTGCTTTCTGACCAGTAAGCCCCCTCCTCTGTCCAATCCACATCTCCATGAACCCTAGGAGGGGTAGGAGTAGTGACACTCTTGGGGAAGGTCATGACCACACCATGTCTCTCCACTTAAC